CATTGGTCCCTCCCAGAGTACACTAAAGTGGTTGGCATTTTCCGCCTAAGGGGTCCTCTTGAGACATTGCATAGTCTGTGGGAAGTACAAAGGGACAGGAGACATTGTAAACATCGGTGCTTGGCTGTCTGTGTGCCCCTTCCCACCTCAAGCTGAATGTTCTGTCCTTCAAGTTAAAATACAAATCAGCAGATATCGTTTCCAGTACTGAAAGATGTATGTACTGCTACAGAAACTAGTTTGCTTAAAGTTATGCATGTATTATGTATCTACTCCGAGTTCATGCTAACAACTTCCGTTCTAAAGAAAAGCAAAGGACAAAAAATTAGTAATAACCTTACATATCATCCTAGTGTCATTGTGGACATGTACTGGAGTTAAGTGTCATTGTATGTCTGTATCCTCTGTGCTGTACTAGCCAGCTAATCCCTTCCACAATCACTGAGCTGCTCTTAGGAAATGGTGTGAGACTGAATGCATTTCTACTGCACAGTAACACATGGAAACAGCACCATGAGTAAGTATAGGCTATTGTTTTTGTTAGTCCTTACTCCATTGAAATCACAGAATAAATTTTTAATTAGTCAATCACAAGAAAGCAGTGAGGAAAGTGACTTGCTCACATATAGGCCCAGGAATGAGGCAAGTGGCGGCCTGGGAATCCCACGCCTTCTAGATGCAGATCCCAGCGCCTCATTCTTCTTCCCCGCTTTGGCCGCATCCTCAGCCTGCTCACTCTAGAGTCGTGCAACAGAAACTAGAAGTTGGGATGTGCTTTCATATCTAAAAGTCAGGACCACATGCTTCTCTTCCTCATTTCTCATACTTCTCTGTTTCTTTTTCCTCAATTATCATAAAATTGGCAATGCTATGGGGGAGCAGGAAGGTTGAGTCAAGGTAAGAATAGAGGAGAGCAGGATGAGAGATACCATAATAGATCCGAGTCATTATAGGTTTGAGGAGAGAGCTGACATTAGTGAGATCTCCAGAGATCTACAAGGATAACACCAACTGGCAAACTAAGCAATAGTGGAGAGACTACATTAATAGCCCCTCCTGGATGGTAAGGTTGATGACTACCTTAAATGCCATCCTAGAACCTTCATCCAGTGACTGATGGAAGCAGAGACAGATACCCACAGCTAAACACTGAACTGAACTCCTGGAACCTAGTGACAGAGATGGAGGAGTGATGAGCATAGGGGTCAAGACCATGATGGTGAAACCCATAAAGACAGTTGACCGGATAAAGGGGGGAGCTCTTGAATCCCAGACTGATGCCTGAGAGGCCAACAGGGGACTGATCCAGACTCCATGAATGTAGTCTCAGTGAGGAGGCCACAGAAATCACTGGGGCCTTGGGTAGTAGATCAGTGTTTATCATGGTGTATGAATGATATTTGGGAACCCATTCCAAATAGAGGGATACTCTCTCAGCCTGTACACATGGGGAAGGGGCCTAGGTGCTGCCCTGGATGAAATGACAGACTTTGGAGATCCCCCCAAGGAGGGCCTAACCCTCCCTGGGGAATGATGTGGGGATTGGGTGGGGGGCTGCGGGGGCTGGTGGAAGGATAAGGGAGGAGGGGTGGGAGAGGGAGCTGGGATTGAGATGTGAAGCATTCATGTTTCTAATTTAAATAAAAACATATATTGAGGAAAAAATTAACAATGCTAAAATGTAAGGTTTTCAGTATAGGGACTGTGTTAAAGTTTTCCAGAAACTTGTGTTAACTTGTTACTACTGTCAGTACCTCAGATGATGAACTTATAAAGCTAAAAGGGTTGTTTTTTTTTTTAACTTAGAAATTTATTCTGAGGCCTCGGCCATCTATGGGACCTCAGATAGTAGATCAGTATTTATCCCTGGAATCCGAATGAACTTTGCGAGCCCATTCCACATGGAGGGGTGCTTTCTCAGCCTGGACAAATGGGGGAGGGCCTACACCCTGCCTGGGAAGACTTTGAAGATCCCCCATGAAAGACCTCCCTGGGGTGTGAAGGGGGATGTGATAAGGAGTTGGGGGGGTTAGTCAGGAGGCAGGGGAGGAGGGGAGGGAGAGGGAGCTAGGATTGACATGTGAAGCAATCTTGTTTAAATAAAAAAATTAAAATAGAAAAAAATTAAAAAGAAGTTTATTCTGTTTAATACACAGGCTTTATATAGCTTTTGTTAAAAAATAAAATAAAACAGTGAAACCAAGACACAATGTCCAAGTCCAGGCCCTCCCAACCTGCCAATGCAGGAGCTCTTTAGTTGTGTGTATCAATTGGAAGAGAAAGGAAAAAAAAAACCATGGATGGGAACCACACAGTTTTCATAAAACAAATTTATGCAACTGAAGGGTCCTTGCTGGGTCTAGCAAATTGCCTTTACGATAGAGAAAGAAAAAAGGGGAGATAGAAAAACAAAACAAGACAAATCAACCCAAAGAGGACAAAGTCCCAGAGTTCCAAATCAACTTAGGAGCCTGTCACACTTGGACAGAATCTCCAGCATCCATGAACAGTGCCTCCCCTGCTCTCTAGAGCTGGGGTCCCGAGGTTTCCCCACAGACCCCCACAGGCAACAAGAGTGAAAACATTCACTCAGACCTTTGTGGTGCTTCAACGTGGTCTCACTTCTGGGCAAGCTTTACAAACCTATACAAGGTTGAAAGCATAATTTACATGGGTGCTAAAATTCAAAAGGAAGGAAGAAAAAAATGGGGGGAGGGGAGGAAAGAGGGAGGGAAAAACACCTCAGGGGAGGCAAGGTATTTAAAGGAACCACAAGAATGCCAACAATATTTAAATGCCCTTAGAAGAATTTTTGACTTAAAATATTTCACTTTAAATGTCAATGGAAGAATGTCACTAATACATCATGGACACCTTTGTAATGTAAATCCATGCCCTTAAAAACAAGAAACCATTGAACTTCAACCTAGCAATTATTACAACAAATGTTATAGTCTAAAGCTTAAACATATTTTAGCATTTTTGGAATGGAATTGGGTACAAACCAAATAAAATTTACCACATAACAAGCATGTCCACCTAGGACTGTGGGGACACTTGAGCCTTCCCCATGGACATTTGAGCCTCTCTAAGTCATCAAGGTTGTCGGCACCTGCACTTTCAGTCTCCTTCCTGGGCTCTGGTGCTGCCACAGGCTCTTCCCCGGGCTGACGTGGTTGTGGCAGCAGAAACAACTGCTACAGCCTTCTCCTTCTTGTGCTTTTTGTGCTTCTTGTGTTTCTTATCCTTTTTGTGATTCTTGTCCTTCTTTTTCTTCTTCTTTCCTAAAGGCTCCTGCACCTCTCCTTGGTGCTATGATCCCGGAACCAAGCCCCTAACACATGGCCTCTGTGGGGGGACATTCCAGATACAAGCACGTGGCAGGCTGCACCACCCAGAGGAACGGATTTCTGAACTTAAATGAAGTTCTTTTATTTTACCTACTGAAAGGAAAAATGGGGGTGGGCGGAACTAAATTAAGAAAGTCTACATGATCATGGGGCATCAAGCAAACAAATAGTTCCTTCATATCAGTTCCCAGAGGAGAAGAAAAGGAGAGCAGCATAGGGAGTCCATTTAACAAAATAGTTTTTGAAAGCTTCCCAAGTACCAGGAATGGTACTGGCAGCCGGATGCGTGAAAGACAAAGAATACCATTAGACTCCACCCAAGACCCTTTCCAATGCACGTTGTCATCAAGGAGTCAGAGACAGAGAATTCCAAATGTAGAAAGAAAAGTGCCAAATACATCTAAGAGAATCCTCATTAGACACCAGCAGATTTCTCAGCAGGAAACTTACAGGCCAGGAGATAATAGAATGATACCATCAAGAGTACATAACAAAATTCTAGCCAAGAACACTGTTGCCCAGCAAGCTGTCCTTCAGAAAATGAAGATAAAATGAAGTATTTCTCAGAAAGCAAACACTGGGGCTGGAGAGACTGCTCCAAGCGTAAGTGCTGGGTTCACACTCAGAATCCATATAGCTGCCAGCATGCCATGGTGGCCCCTGGAATTCCAGCCCCAGAAGATGAAGACGGGGGATCCTCAGAGCCATATCAGCGCACTCTGGGTTTGATTGTGAGACTCTGCTTCCATGATGAAGGTGAAAGAGGGAATCAAGAATGATGCTCGACACCAGCCTATGGCCTTCAGACACACACATGTACATACACACACCCCATATGCATGTGCTCCCCGATGTAAACCATCATCTGGCCACCTGACATGCAGCATCAGACAGAGAACCTTGACTGTCTCTGAGGCATCAGCTCATCTTGGTCCAGACTACTGACTCATCCTACTCAAAAGCCACCCATCTGTCATTTGTTTGCCTGTCTGGACCAGGTACTATGACTCTCCTCCATACTTCCTATTGGAAAGAGGAAACCCAGCTGAAAGTTCCATCAAGTGGTTCAATTTTCCCTCTTGTTGAAGGGGAAACTGTTGGTAGAGATCTCTTGTACCCACAGCACTGACCACTCCCATTTGGGTGTGGACACAGGTATGTGGGGGAGGTAGAGATAAAGTGAAAGACCTCGGCATCAAAGCACAAAGAACTGAACCTTCTGCCCAAGAACTGGGGCCAGACCACTGGCTGCAAATGCAAGAGGTGATTTATTGAGTACACAGGTGCCTGTGGATGCTACTGCAACTCGGGTGCAGAGCATACCGGGCTTGCAGGGAGCACAATATTTATAGAGTTTTAATGGTTACATAAGTATCAGCATAGCAACAGGCATTTCATTGGCTCATCTTGGGGGCAGGGGTAGTTCCCACAGACTAAGTTTCCTGGTATTACCTCATGAAAGACCCCGGCACGCTTCAGCAATTATTATCCGGGTCCCATGACTACTATGGTAATCATAGACATAACTGGGGGCAGGGGTAGTTGCCAAGGACTAGGTGTCCTGGTATTGCCACATAAAAGACCCTGGCACACTTCACCAATTATTATCCGGGTCCCATGACTGCTCTGGTGACCACAGATCCTGTTTGACATCCTGCCAGCTGGGCGAGGCACCTGGTCTGGGTTTTTTCATTAGGCAACAGCCTGGCCTTGTTTTTCTTTTCCTAGGGGGCCCTGGGTAGGGGTCTTTCAAAAGGTCAAAGAAGGAGGGGTCACTTTTTCTCTTGGGGGTCGGAGACCAGCAGAGTGCTAACCTCAGCTCTCGGGTTCTCACATAAGTGATTTCTCCCTAATAAAATACCACACCACATCCCTTTCCTGTGTATGGTAATCCTCCACATCAGGAAACTAAACCGATCCTGTCTCTACTTTGGAGAGGCCCTCACCTGCGGGCTATCTTCCCCACAAGGGACATGAGGACAGAGAGATTCTGAAGGGCTGTTGTTCCAGACACCTGCTGACTGATGCCTTAAAAACATTTAGTTCTGTCCGGTTCCTGTTGGGGGAAGTGGGCTTGAGTAATTGGCCAGGAAGTGAAGTCACACAACCTGTTTGTGGCCCCATTATCTGACTAATGGAGGTCACTATGTGTGATTGGAGTCAGGTTAATTTTTCTGAGAGCGGTTCGAGGGCACCTCCAGATCAGTTGTTTTGTTCATCCTGTAATTATGTTTCTGGCCATTTCCATTGCAGGTGTGGTTACTATTCTGTTATTCTGTACGATAGGTGTCTTGCTCTTGTCCCTCTTTTGGACTTTCTCTGACTTCTCAACAGTACCACCGTCGTGTGGTCAGGCACTGTAACTTCATTGCTCTGCAAGCAATGACCTGAAGGTCTTACCTAAGGTCCATAAGTGACAACATCCTCATTGTCCCACAGAGAATTTAACTCATCCAAATTGCTAAGGGTGGGTGTGGATGTAGCTCAGTAGGCCGAGTGTTTATCCACCAAGCCCAAAGCCCAGGCTTGACCTCCGGTACTGCATAAACCAGGACCGATGTCACTCAACCGTAATCACGTCGCTCAGGAGGTGGAGGCAGAAGATCAAAACTTCTCAGCCGTTCTCAGCTACACAGTGGGTCCGAGGCCAGCTTGGGGTACACGGGATCCTGGTTCAATAAATAAGGAAATAAATTCTCTAAGGAGACTTTATAAGATACTAACAGTTCTAGGGTTTAAAAAAACGATCTATCCTGGGGGTATAGTGGTAGAGTACTTTCCTAGCATGGCTAAGTCTCTGAACTCAATTCCCAGCACGGAAAAAATAAACCTATCAACTTTACTTTTTCTCTCAAAGAAGACGGCTCCTTTGTGATTTGTTTGACTCTGCTGGAGTCACTGGCAGTACTGGAGTTCTTGGTTGTCTCTTATGTGTTTTTGTTGTCTGTATTTTTAGCTGGTGAAGATATTGGGATAGTGTTTACGGCCTGTTTGACTCAAGTTTCTTTTACAACATACTGAACAATATGACATAGGCATGAATTTCTTAGGCTGTACTGAATTTGATTCTATGCTTTTTTTAACCTCCGGGACTTCATTAGGCTATAAATTTCTCATCTCATTGAAGTGAGAATAATATTAATATTTCTGTCATATAAATTGCATGGATGTTAATTATGACACTGAAGGAAATTGGCTAAAAGTCATGGCGGACAGATCTTAGAGCTTGCTCACTGTCCACTATTCATGGGGGCTAACTTACCCAGTTAGGCACAGCAAGCCAAGGATCTAAGGCTCATAAAACTTTTTGGGGTCTGTAGATATATTGTCATTTTCATTCTCTTAAATTTAGAAGAAAATTAATGTGAAATGATAAGTGCACAGTAATTACTTCAGCCCAAATTATACTTCTCATGAAATGTAATTGTTCATTTTCATTTGAAATGAGGGGCCTCCAAAGCAATAGTGCTGGACCCTCAGAAAGCTGCCACATGGCCCTGACTTTTAGCAAATGTAGCTAAGATAGTACCAGGAGATCCGACAGCATGAGGGAGGTGAAAGTTAATTGTCAACGCTGTAACTCAGTCATTGCCTGACCCAGCTGTAGTTGCTCTCTCTGTGAATGCAGTGGAAGTAGGATTATGAAACAAACGGGTGTGGCTTCTCTTCTCAGCATCTCTGCCAAAAACGGGGCACATCTGACCAGGAGGTGTGGCTTATTCCCAGCATTAGAGAGGCAGAGGCAGGCAGGTTGCAGTGAGTTTAAGGCCAGCCTGGTCTTCAGAGCAAGTTCCAGGACAGCAGCCAAGGCTATACAGAGAAATTCAGTCTTGAAACAACAATGGGAGAGAGAGAGAGAGAGAGAGAGAGAGAGAGAGAGAGAGAGAGAGAGAGAGAGAGAGAGAGAGAAAGGCATCCCTTTGAAAAGAATGTGGCTATGTGGCTTTCTATCGTATTTAAAGTTTTTATTTCTATGCCTGTGTGTGTATGCTATATGTGTGTGGCTGCCCTCGGAGACTTGAAGTGTGTATTGGACCCTCTGGAGGTGCAGTAACGGGTATTTGTGAACTGCCCAACATGGGTGCTGGATGATAGATCACAAGCTGACAATTAAAAACTGCCACACTCAGCTATATATAGAATATTGAGGCCAACCTGGGCTACATAAGATCCTGCCTGAGGAAGCAAAAAAGGAGGAGGAAGGAAAAAAGAAAAGGAGGCAGAGAAAGGAGAGGGAAGGGCTGGGGAGGCAGAAATTGCTCTCTCCGTGAACGCAGTAGAAGTCGGCTTCTGTAACAAGTGCGTGTGGCTTTGTGCCATCACCACTACCCACCAATGTGGTCAGGGTTGGTGGTGGGTGCAGCATGCAACAATGTGACAGGTCCTTGGGGTCCTTTTTATCTGCTCGTTTCTTGTTCTGTGCCAGAGTGCCTTGGTCTGAGATAATGTTCTGTGGGATCACTTTTTGGTAGACTAACCGTCGGGCAAAAAGAGACAAACCCTTACCCAGCAAGAACAGAACATTGCCTTTGCAGAGTGAAGGGACCTCATCCTTTCAACTTGGCTGTGCAGTAACTGGTATACTCTTTAGAGGAATGGCGCCCTGTTATTACCATCCATAATGGATATTTGTTTTGTTTTGTTTGATTCCCTCTGTTACAAATAGTCTCCTTATTTGAGAAGACTCCAACAGCAGTGAGAGGTCAGGCTTCCTTCCTGTTATAGAAGCCAGAGGAAGAGGGTATTAGTCATTGTAGTTACAGCTATGGAAGTCAAGTTCCCATAGGAGAACTTGGGAGAGTTCTGCAGCTTAGCAACAGTGAGAACATAGTTGATTAGCCGTGGGTATCCACAGAGACAGCACGCCTGACGCTACTTCCCATGCTTCCTGCTGGGATTATTGGTGAATTTTTTTCCTTTCTTTTCTTTCATATGCGCTTTGCTTTTGTATTTGTTTGCTTTGTTTTAAGACAGGGTCTTACTATGTACCCTACACTCACACCAGTCCTCCTGCCTGGGCCTCCCTAAGTTCTGGGATTATGGTTGTGTCCCATACTCCTGGTCTGGAGTTTAGCTATCTAGCCTTTTTATTGTAACACTCCCAATGACTCCTTTTATCTTTCTAAGGTGTCCAGGGTAGTGTTTGATGACAACATTGAAAAATCCAGACAAATATGAACTGTTTTCTCAACACTACTCAAGCAGTTGGCATGGTAGGTTGTTCCAGGCAACAGACAGAAACCTATTGACCATTGCCCTAGAAAGACAAATACCCAGGCAAGGCCCAATAAACAGTATGGAAAATACACTCACAGGACAAGATACACATAGCCTGTTCAATTGTGGAAGCTTCTGACTGAAAGAGAGGCACTTAAGGCTCATGCAGTCAACTTGGGCTCATAGAGCTCACAGGGACTGAACTGGTAACCAGAGAGCCTGCATGGGACTGACCAAGGCACTCTGCATATATGTCACAGTTGTTTAGCTTGGTTCTCTTGTTGGACTCCTAACAGCAGGTACAGGGGCTGTCTCAGACTCTTTTACTGGCCTTTGGGACCCTACTTCTCATATTGGGTCACCTTGCCCGGCCTTAATACATGGGGAGGTGCTTAGTCTTACTGCAACTTGATATGCCATGTTTTATTGATACTCATGGGAGACCTGCCCTTTCCTGGATGGAGATGGAAGAGGAGGGGATTGGGGGGTGGGAGGGGGAATGGGAGAGAGGGATTGGGAAGGGATATAAAATTAAGAGAGAGAGAGAGAGAGAGAGAGAGAGAGAGAGAGAGAGAGAGAGAGAGAGAGAGAGAGAGAGAGAGAGAGAGACCCTTGGATTGTGTCAGAGGCAGCTGGTATGGTTATGGTTGTAATCAAACAAACACCGTATTTGCCCCACTTACATTTTGGCTCCAGGGAGCAAAGTCTACCTTGAGCTCATACTGTCTGTCAGCAGATGTGTCTCTCTTCCTCCTGAGAAGAAATAGTTGAAGGAATTAGAGGAATTAATGAGACAGAGAAATGTAAAAGCCAGACACAGTGATTATCACAAATCATATTACATGGGATATTTTTGGTTTTTGTATATTTCCCTCAAGAATTAATTTATGCTCATTGATGTCTATGCTAACAAATTGGTAGGGTGAGAGGTACCATACTTGTATATATGCAAGCAAATGTGCAGCATTTGTATTATGTAGCCTGTTTACCCATTTAACATTTCCATTTTATTTATTAAATTTCTCTAACATTTTTAGAGGGGTTTTTCAAGATAGGGTTTCTCTGTGTAGCTTTGGAGCCTATCCTGGCACTCGCCCTGTAGACCACCTGCCTCTGTCCCCCAAGTGCTGACATTAAAGCCATCACCACCTGGCTAAAAATAACATTTTATGACAATCATATTCTATCAGCTAACATTTTACCATTCTTCTAACATTTACAATGCTTCAAAATAAAGCCACAATTAAAACAAAAATATGTCAAATCTTTTCTCACCTACCTAATTGCTCTTTTTAGGTTAGCAAAATGACTAGGTTAAAAGACATAAAAAATATTAGACTATGAAAAGCACGTTTTGGGGGATTGACTGGTTTGCTCGGTGGTTATCAGCACTTGCTGCTCTTCCACAGGACCCGTGTTGGGTGACTCACAACCACCAGGAACTTTAGCTCAGGGGACTGGACACCCCCTTCTGGCCTTATTGGCACCTGCACACACGTAGTATGCACTCAAACACATACGCATAAAAAATACATTTGCAACTTTCAAATCTTTAAAAGCACATGGAAGTAACTTGCAGGAAGGCTTTACTAGCTCACACTTCGAATTTGATTTTAGCAGCATACGATGAGCAGCTGTGCTAGCCCACACTCCCAGCAGCACAGGCACAGGTCAACGTCACCATGACCCTTGTAAAACGTCGTAACTGAGCTGGTGGCTATTACTTCAGGCTTATTTAACATATTTAGGTTATAAATCCAGGCTGGAGAGACGGGGGGATCAATTGGTAAAGCACATAATGTACAAGTGTGAAGACCTTACTTCCCCTAGAACGTGTTCTGGCTGGTTTTGAGTCATCAGCAGAAGGAGCCTCAGGTGAGGAAATACCCCAGTGAGATCCAAGTATAAGGCATTTTTCTCATTTAGTGATCAGTGGGGAGGTTCCAGCCCATTGTGAGTGGTGCCACCCTGGGCTGATGGTTCTGGGTTCTATAAGAAATCAGATTGAGCGAGCCAGGGGAAGCAAGCCAGTAAGCAGTTACCTTCCATGGCTTCTGTATGAGCTCCTGCCTCCAGGATCCTGCCCTGGCTAAGTGTCTGTCCTGACTTCTCTTAATGATGAACAGCATGGAAGTGTAAGCCAAATAAGCCCTTTCCTCCCCAACTTTCTTATTAGTCGTGGTGTTTCATCACAGCAATAGATACGCTAAGACACCATGTAAAAAAGCAAAAAGGCCTGCCATGGTGTGCCGAGAGGCAGAGGCAACCACTCTAGCCAATCAACAAGCTCTGATTTCAGCGAAAGACCCTATCTCACAAATAAACTGAGGAAGCCACTTAATGTAGACCTCTGGCACCCACACAGATGTGCACAAACATGGACACATGTGCACGTGTGCACACACAAATTATAAACCTTGTCCCTGCTTCGCGAATCAAGCTGTCGCTTACCTGTTATATCACACTTACAAATACACAACTTAGTAGAAGAAAGATGCAGATGCATCTTCATCACAAAATAACTAGTATGAGCTAGCTGGCTCATTCTAGAAAGCAGAAAGACTGTCTTGACTGGAATTTCTCAATATGACTTACTAACTCAAACCGTAAGCAATCGCTGGATGATTCCATAAGGAGCATGTTTGCCACTGACTGTGCAGGCAAACTCTATGTGTGTATTTTCTATCCTGCTGTAAACCTATTTCTGCAAGAGTCTCAAAGTTCAGTAGTTTAATCTCCGTCTAAAGATCACAGCAGCCTTGTCTTATCTCCACAAAGTAATTTCTTAAAAGCAATTGCAAGCTATAAAAGTAGCAACTACTAGATGTGGTCTACTGGAAAAACAAGATGGTAAGGCTGATAAATATAATTTAGTGGGGGAAAGGACTTCACAAAGTGGTGACTCAAATACCTTTGACCCAGACAGGGTGTGGAAGAGAAATTGCTGGTGGCTTTTCTTTCTTTGCAAGGATGTTCATTCTAAGCTGTTTGGATGGCCTCGTGGTAAAAAATATTTTGGACAACATGTCAAGTACCACCATAGCACTTGCTTGAATTTCCAAAGTACGATGAGGTTCTAAAGCATTCCTTAGACCCAGGGTTTTTTGTTTGTTTATAATTCATTGATTTTTGTTATTCATCTGTTTATTTTACATCTCAGCTACCCCCTTCATCATTCACTCCTAGTCCCTCTTCCCCATCCCAGCCCCATCTCCATCCAGGATAGGGCAGATGTCCTGTGAGTATCAATAAAACATGGCATATCAAGTTGCAGTAAGATTAGGAACTACCCCTCCTTAGTAATGCTGGACAAGGCAACCCGGTATGAGAAGTAAAAGAGTCAGAGAGAGCCCCTGTTCCTGCTGTCAAGGATCCCATAAGACCAAGCTACACAACTGTAACACATATGCAGAGTGCCTAGGTCAGTCCTATGCAGGCTCGCTGGTTGTAGGCTCAGTCTCTGTGAGCCCCTATGATGCCAGGTTAGTTGACTGTGTGAGCCTTCCCATGGGGTCCTTGATTCCTCTGGCTCCTACACTCCTTTCTCCTTATTCTCTGCAGGATTCCTGAGATCTGCTTATGTCTGGCTGAGGGTATCTGCATCTGCCTCCATCCATTGCTGGATAACACCTCTCTGATGACAATTGGCCCAGGCATCAATCTGGTTACAGGAGACAAGTTCGGGCTACTTATCCACTATTGCTAGCAGTCTAAGCTGGAATCCTCCCCCATAGACTCCTGGGAGATTCCTTGAGTCAGACTTCTGCCCAACAGGAAATGCCCACAAGCGGTCCTCCTCAGCACTCTCCTCCTCCATGCGCCCCCCAACCTCATTGCTCATGTTCCCACCCCTACCTGCCCTCAGTCCACTCACAAAACCTCTTCTATTTCCCCTTCCCAGGGAGATCTGGGTGACCCCCATGAGCTCTCCTTGTTACCTAGTCTCTCTGCAAACCCAGGTTTTTCCAACCAAGTTTATGACCCATTGTGGCTGATTCATGTTAACTTTTTTGTTTTGTTTTGTTTTGTTTTGTTTTTCGAGACAGGGTTTCTCTGTGGCTTTGGAGGCTGCCCTGGAACTAGCTCTTGTAGACCAGGCTGGCCTCGAACTCACAGAGATCCACCTGTCTCTGCTTCCTGAGTGCTGGAATTAAAGGCGTGCACCACCGCCGCCCAGCTCTCATGTTAACTCTTAAGAGATACTTTTAGAACTTGGTGCTTTAGGAGGAATACCATCTCTTTTTGACATTCAATCATTGCCTCCAGAAGAGTGGATTTCAGGACTCCCTCATACGGTGTACATGCATAGTCTTGCACACATGCACCCACTCTGTGTCCCCTCCTCTCTCCTTTGCTATGTCCCGCTCTCCATGGTACCTGGATCACACTTTATCCTTGCACTGACTTAGTAAGGCTGTTCAATACAACAACAATGCTTTATTATATATATAAACTGAACACTTCACTAAAAGGTAATAAAAGTCACATGGTTTTTAATGCGTTAACACTAGAGTTAAGGTCAATAGCTGGACATGAAAGAGTCAGTGTTATTCAGAGGGGAAATTGGCATTGTGCATCAAAGTCATAAAAATGCCCATCCTTGTTGAACGAGCAGTTCCAACTATTAGGAATTCATCCCAAGAAAACAATTACTTTTGCAGAAAGATTTATGTGTAAAATATTCATTGAATTCTTGTCTACAAAATTAAAAATAGAAATAACCCAAGAACCCAGGAATAGAAAGATAACAGACTGAAGCACATAAAACTGATTACATTCAACTACTTCAGTGTCCATGGAGCAAATACATTACATAGATTGGACATAATTTATAAACCAGATTCAAGGATAAAAGAACCATGGGTGAAAGAATATTTAATGGAGTAAAAAAAACCACTATGTATTATTTGTTAGAGAGAAAAAGAGGGTACAACATAATAGTGAATAAAATATGCCTGCAGTGCCAATAGGATACATATGTGTGTGATAACTTAATTCACATTTCTCGCCTATGGTGTGGAACTATGAATATATATATATGTGTGTGTATGTATGTGTATATATATATATTTGTGTTTATATTGCTTTTAGTTGGCTATGTTGATTTTCCATTGGTTTGCAATCATAACAAACACACACACACACACACACACGCACACACACACACAATTAGATCTGGAGAAAAGTCACTTTGCTTCCATCTGAGCGTTTCACAGATTTGTCATTGGCCCTTCTTCATTTTTGCAGCTAAAGCTAGCTGGCTATGGCTATGGTGGTCAAACGTGTCCACCCCCAGGTTGGCTCTGTGGCTCTGTGAGTGAGAAGCTGTAGGGAAGAGCACTCCTTGTGCAGCAGAGAAAAAGTTTTCAAAAGGATGCTTTTCCGGGAGAGTTGTGCCTCCCCTCAGGCCTAGCGGAATCTAGGAGGTTGCAAGCACAGGCTGACCAGTGCATGGAGCAAGGTGGTGAAGCCGGAGGAAAAGTTGTTGGCATTCCTACAAACTTGCTCAAGCTCATGACAGAGACACAAAGGAAAAGCAAAAGCCATGTGGTTTCTAAAGTTGCACTCCCTGTGTTGTGGGAGATGGGTTTTGGTACCGTTTCTCAGTAGGCCTGTAGGGTGAATCAGAGAAAACTCTTGGTATTACCCTGATCACCAACATCATGACCCAACTGCAGAGAAATCCAGCTGAATTGATTCCACACTCTGCTTCAGAGAACAAAAACTCAAAATCAATTACTTCATCATTTGGCATCTTTTCCTGATGAACTCCCTCCCAGGACTACAGGATTCCTGACTCAGTGATGATGAAGGGGTTCTTCATAAGGGCTTACAAAGAAAGAAGTTGAAAAATGCCTAGATAGCATTACTGGTAAAATACACAGAGCTGCTAAGTAGTTTACATGGACAGGGACTGTATGTGGGCAGCATTTTTAACTACAGTTCCCTACTCAATGGCTGGTAGCCACAGCATCCCCAGCCAGGCTGAGTTGATCCTAGAATTGCCTCTGAGACAAATGTCCTTCTCTTGGAAGCTGTGTTTCTCTGTAAGATGAAGGTAGTAACAGTACCTCAAGTTCAGGGCTCTGGTGAAAACAAAATGAGCTGAAATAAGGAACACTGCATTATCTAGACTTCATAAATGATAGGAGATGTTGGCTTCAGCATCTCCACTATTCTTCTGTCTTCCAAATCAGCAGTAATTGGCACTGGTTCCTCTGGCCCATCTCACTACAAAGCATGGTATACTTCCATCAGCCATGGTGGCTTACTGTGACAGACATTGAAGGGAGCTGAGGCAGGGGGGCTGGAAGTTTGAGACCAGCAGGGGCTGGTTAAAGAGCAAGATTGTGTTCCTAAAAAAAGAGGAGGAGTTCCGGGATGCAGCTCACTGGCAGAATGCAGATTGTGTTCCTAAATAAAGAGGAGGAGTTCCGGGATGCAGCTCACTGGCAGAATGCAGATTGTGTTCCTAAATAAAGAGGAGGAGTTCCGGGATGCAGCTCACTGGCACAATGCTAGCATGCGCAATGCCTTGGCTTCAGTTGCTACAGAGAGGATGGAGCGCTCTTGAGTTCTCAAGACTTTCTGTCTTACAAGTGCTTTTGTTCCTTCCTTTTCTGTAAACGAGCACACCAGGGTTGTGTTTCAAATGTTATACTGAATTGTTAGGCTGTTTATCTCAGACATAAGCTCATTCAAGTTTTTATTTGGGGGCCAGGATAGCTCAGCAGATAAAAAGCACATACTGATATAGTCTTGTAGCCCAGGCTGTTGCTAAGTCTGACCCTGAACTGAACCCCTAACTTCCAATCTGCCAAGGGCTATGATTGCAGGTGTGCACCACTAACCCTGGCCTAGTAAGGTGGTTTTATAAAAGTGTGTGTGTGTGTGTGTGTGTGTGTGTGTGTGTGTGTGTGTGTGTGTGTGGAAGTCATGATACATATGTGGAAGTCAAAGGATAATTTGGGGGTGTTGGTTTTCTCTTTCTACCATGTGGGTCTCAAGAACTGAACTCAGATTGTTAGACTTGGCAGCAAGCTCCTTCTTCTGCTAAGCCATCTTTCCAGCCTAGCATTAGGGTTTTAAGTCTTAAATCTGTGTGACTATTGTAGATTGCCCATGAGTTAGTAGATGATCCTACATCAATATACACTGAATATGTCACCCAAATCTACTTAGTTTCACTTAACATGGTGTTTTACAAATGAAAGACAGGTAATTCACTATGAAAACTTGTTGATATTTCTAATTTTTTTCAATATTGGCCCTAAAGGCAAATCTTAAGAGGTCAGTTAGCAGCATAAACTCCAGAATTTGTGGGCTCAAACACCTGGGTTATGAGTATCTCAAAAATACCTAAACTTTGAAGTATTTTTAATAAGTATATGAAAGCCTTGAAGACTACTCTGCACTTTTCTAGTTGGTGTAAACATTAGGTATTATTTTTAGTGGGAAAATGCTGACTAAGGAATAGGTGGACTATGGAGACAAACTCTCTCTGGTAAAACTAAAAGCAGGGAAGGTGTATGGACTAACTGAAGTCAAGCCCTTTAGACAGCCACCATTCTTTTTGAAGAAGGCACATATACCAAGCCTGTCCTGTCTTGTGTACCTCTATGAATGGTGGCAAAGTCTTAATCCTTTGCTTTCTATGCATTTAGCTGTTAGATGCTTGTATTAATCCTACTCTGAAGAGTAAGATTCCTGGTTGCTTGGTATTTATTGTAGAAGAAATGGACCTTTCACATAAGACAGAGGTTGGGGCTGGATGTGGTGACACACATCTGTAATCTCAGTCCTCAGGAGGGTTGGATCAAGATTGTTGCTAGTTCAAAGCCAGCCTGAGCGACATAGTCCAAAATCAGCCCATTGGGATGAAGTGGAATTCTGTCCCTCTAAAACACACACACACACACACACACACACACACACGTGTGTATATATATATATTATATTATATTATATTATATTATATTGGAAAGCAAAGGCACCATCAGTCTTTTCATTTTCAGAACAAAGCTGTGTAGGCCACACTGCGTTACTTACGTTCTGTTGTGATAATGTGCTCTAACCACCAGAGAATTTGGGGAGAAGCATTTTTTTTCTAGCATACAATTCCACAAGATGTAAAGTCCACTGGTGAGGGGAAGGCCCGTCAGCAGAAGCCTAAAACCAGGCTGGCAGTCAAGAAGCAGACTAATCACATGTCACCATGTCACCTGCACACAGGAAGCAGAGAGAGAGAGAGAGAGAGAGAGAGAGAGAGAGAGAGAGAGAGAGAGAGAGAGAGAGAGAGAGAGAGAATCAGGCTACAAAGCCTCAAATCCCACCACCTGTGTCATGCTTCCCCTGCAAGGCTCTACTCCCTACCCATTCTGTACCCTTCCCCGCTGGGTACCAAATATTCAAGCACACAAGCCTGTGGGGTTATTTTGTGTTCAGAGCATGGCACACAGACATGCACAGGCAAATGTTTGTATGAGATGTCTGCATGTGTACAGCCTGGCCTGGCATTTGCTCCCATTCTACCTGAAGAGCAACAAATGGTGAGTAGTTGAACTTCACTCACATCAAGCCTTTCCAGTGACTATTGCCTTAAAAACAGACGGGCTAGGCTTGAGGATAAAGGCCAGGTGGAGACGCCTGCCCAGTTTACACGAGTCCTTGGATTTAATCGCCAGCACCACCACAAAATAACAAGAGAATAAAATAGTCCTCCAAAAGAACCAAGTGTTCGCAGGGGTTTGTTTGCAATCACCTTTAAAATATTAGATAGGTATTGTGGTGCACACAATTGATCCCAACTCTAGAGAAGCAGAGATGGGTGATCTCTGTGAGTTTAAGACCAGCCTGGTCTCCAAAGTTATGTATAGGTCAGTTAGGTCCACACTGTGAAACCCTGTCTCAAAAAAAAAAAAAACAATGCTTAGACAGAGAGATGGAGTTACAGCTCAGTGGTGTAATGTTTGCCTACCGCTCTGAGGTCCTGGGTTCAGTCCTATCAGAGAAAAACAAAAGAAAAAGAAAATCATTAGGCAATGTGGATTGGAGCACATAGATCTATAAATGGAGAAATAGCTGTAGAAAGTTAAGGGAGAGAATGACTTCTCTGGAATGTATAGGCAATTGTGTATTTATTTCTCTGACTATGTTACTTCCTGCAAGAGAGGATGAATAGGGGAACTGAACGAGCCCATTGAGAATGTGTCCAGGCACCTTCCGGGAAATTAGTCATAGATTTGTATAGTCCCTCCTGCCTCTCAGCTCTGCCTAGAGCAAAATGAAAGAAAAAAATAACTTCCCATCACTGTAACTGTTATTCACAGAGCCCGTGAATCAAAACAAAAAATAAAGACATCTCTGGCAGTGAGTGTTTTAATGGGAATTCTGAGCTGAGAAACATAGCTGGAATATTCTAGAATCGTGCTATTTTTTGGTGGCCTCTGCTATTGAGACGGAATTGAGGTAAGCTATTTCTTCTACCCCTGGCAATAAAGTCATGGTTAGGCAGAATCCTGCTACAAGAACAACATTTTACAGGTAAAGATCACCTGCTCATGTCAGCTTGGCAACCTTCAAGTTCTGTGACTTCATATGACCGACCTGTCTTACACAGAAATGTCCCTTGGGTAAACATAAAAGTTCCAGCAGGAGGAATCGGTAAAATTCCCAGTGTCAGACCATAAAACACTTATCAACGACCTATCAACAGGAAGCATGTGTTGACCTGAATCTGAGGGCCATGGAAAAAGTGGGGGCTAGTGGCTTCCTCAGAGGGCTCAGCGGATAATGATGCTTGCCACCAAGTCTCACAACCTGAGTTGGGTCCCAAGACCCCATATGGTAGAGGAATACAACTGACTCCCCGTTATGCTCTGACCTTCACATTGGCACGCACATGAACACGCACACACACACACACACACTCACACTCACACATACTCTCACACACACACACACACACACACACACACACACACACACAGAAAAGAAGCGCTTGTAGTAAGTCCTTTGAAAAATCACTACACATTCCTGTAGGCCTTCACTGACAGAGCTACGAAGAAAGAAGATATGATTCATGTGGCCAGTGGAGTGGTACTCAGTCTTTAAAAAGAGGGACTTCAGGGATAGGTTAGGACTCAAGAGCACTTGCTCCAGGGAACTGGAGTTTGGTTTCTCACACTGTCATCCAGCAGCTCACTACTCCAGGGAACTGGACACCTTTTCTGGACTCCACAGACAGTTGCATACACACAGACAGAGACACACAAGCATAGACAAAAGTAAAATAGATCTTAAAAATAAAACTAAGACAGGAAGGCAACCCTGTTACATGTCATGATGAGAATGAAGTTCTGGGGTGGGGGAAGTTAAGTGAAAGACAAATGCCACGATCCTACTTAAAGGAGGGGTTGAAAGCAGTACAGTTTATAGAGGAGGTTGCCATGAGCTCGACACCCCTCCCTCCCTCCCCCTCCCCCCCACTCTCCCATCCCCTGGCCACATTGGCATTGCCCTCTCTGGTCCCACTGAGACTTCTCACTGATCCCTTTTCCCGGTAATCCCCCCCTTCTAGTTCCATGCCGTGTGTGTGTATTCATGTGTGTGTTTCCTACAGAGAGAAAATGCAATGTTTACCTTCTGAAGTGCTTGTTTTCCAAAAGATAGTCTTCAGAACCATCCATTTTCTACAAGCAACATAATTCCATTTTTCCTCATAGCTGAAGAAAACCCCATTATACCACAAAGGCTTAAGAAAAGATTAGCTATGGAAAGTAAAATAAGAACCTGGGCAGTTTTTTGGTTTTTGGTTTTTTTAATTCAGATTTCAGTTGTAATTAAGCAGGCCTGTAAGTATGAGGTAACCTGCGAGGGAAGTGTTGAAATCTGACTGAGGAAAAGCCAAGCTTCCTCTTTGTCAGGCTTTCCCAGGACCGTCCTGTGCTTGCTTCCTGTTGACGACGGAGAACTAAGGCTTGGCACTGACAGATCACCTGTAGTACACAATGTAGGAAAAAATAGCTTGAGAAGAAACAAATACAGACTAACAAATGTTGGGGTTGGAGGAGGTTTCGGAGTTCGAGTAAAAACTGAAGAAAAAAAAAAAGGAGCAGACTTCTAACAGCTACATGGCCTCAATTCCACACATAGATTTCCCCCACTGCTTCTCTATAGTCTTATTATTTATTTTTATTTATTTATTTTTTTGGTTTTTTGAGACATGGTTTCTCTGTATTGCTTTGGAGCCTGTCCTGGAACTCTCTCTGTAGACCAGAATGGCTTTGAATTCACAGAGATCCACCTGCCTCTGCCTCCCCAGTGCTGGGATTATGGCGTGTGTCACCAATACCTGGCTATCTACCATTATTTTATCTTCCAGGACGTAAGTACTGAAATGTCTTGCTCCTACATGTGCACATACACACACACACACACACACACACACACACACACACACACACATAAGTAAAAATAAAAATAAAATCTTTAAAAAATGGGAACATGGTGGTGGTGGAGAGATGGCTCAGTGGTTAAGAACATGTATTGCCATTGGAAAGTTGCCAGAATGCATGTTGGGTGGTCCACAGCTGCCTATAACTTCAACTGCAGGTGATCTGACATCCTCTTCTGGCCTCTAAGGGCACTGCACTCATGTGTACTTAACCCCCACAGAGGCACATATATAGGCAACATTGAAAATAATTTTTAAAATTAACTATTTACTGTAAGCAATGTAAATCTTTTGTTGAAAATAAGCAGTTTATCTCATTGGCCCTTACGGCTGTTGATGTAAAGCAAGTACTTCCCCATTTCCTTTAGATGTAAAGGTACGAGAACTGAGACGGTGAGCCAATAGCTGCACATCAGAAAACTAAAACTTCCTATTTAAAACCATTCTGCCTAGCAAGTCACGGTGGCGCACACCTTCAATCCCAACACTGGGCAGGCAGAGGCAGGTGGATTGCTGTGAGTTCACAGTCAGCCTGGTCTACAGAACATAGTGAGACCCTGTCACAAAAATAAAAAGACAAAGCAACCACAGCAACAAAATTGTGCTTGTTGGATCCTTAGAAGAATAAATATATTGCTCCACACATTTTAATTGACATCTAAAAATATTTCCTAAGTGCAAGGTTGAAAATTTATTAACATTTTAAAGTAAAGTTGCTGGGGCTGGAGAGACGGCTCAGCAGTTAAGAGCACGCACTACTCCTGGACAGGATGTAAGTCCAGTTCCCAGCACCTGCATCAGGTGGCCCATAGCAGCCTGTAATGCCAGCTCCAGAGATTCATCGCCCCCTTCTGGTCTTCAGGTGGATCTGCACTCACAGGTGCACATACTCACAAACAGAAACACACATATAAGCATAACTTATCTTTATAAATATAAAATATTTATAAAATATAAAATATAAAAATGAAAAATGTACAAACCACACATGTGGGTTTTTAGTAAGTTAAGTGATAGAGAGAAAAACTTCTCATCTGGCCACTGCAGTGCTGTTCAGCTCTGCTCCTGCCTCAGCAAGGCTCAACCTCTCTAATCTTTAGTTGCTCTTCTGTAATGCACATGTATGCAGGTTTTACTCTGTGATGTGCATTTCCTGAGACTTCCTGTTAGTAATTAAGCTTCCTTGGGGTGGCAATATGGTCCAGTGGGTAGAGGCATTTGCTGACTCAGCTAAATTCACAGACAGACCCCACATGGTAGAACTGAAAGTTGTTCTGTGACCTGCATGTGTACTCTGGCTTACATGTGCACTCACAATGAATAAATAAGTATAGTAATTAAGATTGGAATAAATGAACTATATTTTTGTCAGCTATCTATCAAGAGATATGGGGACTACTTGGTAAATTGCAGCCAATTAAACTAACACAGCTTGTGAAATTACTGTTATTTAATAAATACTGCTATTGTCAAAAGACATAAACTTTTCAGGTCATGTTTCTCATATACAATTCTGTATTCCTTAGTTTATTGTCAGCTTGACACCACTTATGTGAGATGGTTTCCGGCTTGTATAAGAAATCAGCAATCCATGAAGATCAAGCCAGTGAGCAGCTCTTCTGTGGCCTCAACAGCAGTTAGCACTATGAACTCAATCCTTTGCTCGGTTTTGGCCATGGTGTTTTGTCACAGGACTAGAAAGAAAATCAGGATAACATGTTCACAACACCAAAGGAAATTAATGAATGATTCTGCATATTTTGTGTGTGATGTACTGTGTGTGTGTGTGTGTGTGTGTGTGTGTGTGTACAGGTGCTTTGCACGTGGAAGCCAGAGGTCCATATCATGTGTCTAATTCTATTGACCTCCTTATTTGATACAGTGCTTGACATAAGGTCTCTCAATGAACATGGAACTCAATGCTTTGACTAAACTGGCTGGCCAGCAAGTCTCTAGAATCCACTCATCTCTGTACTCCTTACCCCTACATGTTTTTAAAAAGGTATACAAAAGTTGGAAATACAGAGGAGTGATCTGGGAAGAGTAAAGCTGCAATTAGAAAACTGAGTACCAGAAGCTGAAGAGATGGCTCGGAGATTAAGAGCACTGTCTGTTCTTCCAGAGGTCCTGAGTTCAATTCCCAGCAACCACATGGTAGCTTACAATGAGATCTGGTGCTCTCTTATGGCATGTAAGTATACATGCAGGCAAAACACTATGCATAATAAATAAATCTTAGGAAGAGAGAGAGAGAGAGAGAGAGAGAGAGAGAGAGAGAGAGAGAGAGAGAGAGAGAGAGAGAGAGAGAGAGAGAAGCTGAGTGTCACAGAAGTGACCCTTCTGGTCTCTCTAGGGGTGACTTCAGGGTCACATACTGTCAGTGGAATGGATCATGTGTGTTTTCATGGACACCAATCAGAGCAAAGGTTGGTCTAGATAAAGGAAATATTTTGTATTCTCCCAGCCCGGCTGGCAGGAGTGCCCCTGGATTAAGATGGGGGAACATTTATCACGGGTGCCTCCAGCAATGACTGATGCCTTTGTTTGCGTTTCTGCTGGGGTCACCTTTGGTGCTGTTGAGAGATAAGGAAACAGAATCGGGAATCGTCGAGCTGATACGAAGCAGGGCTATTATTGCTGCTTCCTCAGTCATCTTCGGATCTGGGTGGAAGGCTCTGAGAAATGCAAACAAAGCTGCAGACACATTTAAATGTGGAGCATCCTCCACGCAGAAGACACAAAAGGGGAGCTGTCACATGCAGGGAAATAATGGCCTGCTTGCTAGTCCAGTGGCTGGAGGCAGCCTCACAGCCGGCTTGACGCGCGTGGTCTTGGAGGCAATTACATGTGAAACAGAAGTTGTAAACACTCACCTTCCCTGCTATTTCTCCGGGATCCTCAGACAGCGGCCACCAGAGTCCGGTTCCGCAGTCATTTGCTTTCCTTTCACAGCAGCCTCGATAGGCCTTACGCACAGCACGTTTTATTTTAAATCTAATACCAAGTAGTCTGCTACTGGGGTCTCCATGCCTGTCTGAGAGTCTCAGGAACTTGTCCAAGGGGCCGTGCTGGCATTAATGAACTGAGACCACCAGTCTGAGAAGAATGGAGGCTCTCTTCACAATGCACTCTGGGAATTTTGGATGTGGACCTGAAGATCCTTAGGTAATGATCACACACACACACACACACACACACACACACACACACACACACACACACACACACCACAATCCAGATGAAAAAGAGTCTTCCTTTTTCATAGGGAACACTCATTTCATTTTCCACCCTGGAGAATGTTAAAGTTGGAGCCATCATTGGGAGGAGGATGGCAAGCCCTTGTTTTATTTAAGCCTTTCCCCAGTGTACTGAAGCTTTCTCATCTGTAATCACTGTTGGGAAGTAATACAGCATGGAGAGAGGGCCAATGGACTGGTGGGGGAACTCAGGTAGTGGGCTTGCCTAGCACGCACAGAGCACTATGTGACCCCCGTCACTACAGATACCAGGTGTGGGAGCACACGCCTGTCACCCGGCACTTAGAGGTACAGGCAGGGGGATCAGGTCATTCTTAACTGCATAACAAAGTCAAGACCCAGCACAGTATACATTCAACCTTGTCTCATTTTTTAAAAACACAGGGATTTTGTGTGTGTGTGTGTGTGTGTGTTGGGAACTAGAGACCCAGCTCAGCAGTTAAGAGCACTGGCTCTTCCAGAGGACCCAGGTTCAATTCCTACCCCTCACATGGTGTCCTACAACCATCTGTAACTGGGATTCCATGCGAGCCAATGCTCTCTTCTGGCCTTTGCTGTCACTGAGCATGCGCATGGTACATAGATACAGACATATAAAGTGAAACTACAAATCATTTTTATAAAGACGGGGAAGGATATCTAGAGAGATAGCTCAATTGATAAAGTACATGCCACACAAGCATGAGAAACTGAGTTTAAACCCCCAGAATCTCACATAAATTGGGTAGCACTACCTGCAATACCAGTGCTTCTGTGGTGAACTGGAGTTTGGGGGACAACTATCGGAGCATATGCAGTAAATCATAGGAGACCCTGTCTCAAACACGGAAGATGAGAACCGCCACCAGAGGCTGTCCTCTGACCTCCACACACATGCCATGGCATGCACGCTTGCATATACATGATAAGAATAATAATGCAAACAAAAGATCCCAGGCTGGGTCCTGAATCCACAGGAGGACAGTGTTCCTATGGTGATTACACAGGGGTCCACAATTGTAAGATTTTCCCACAACTGGGGGTCCTAAACTGAGCTGAGGAACCACCTTCACAGGGAGGATGAAATGCTTAATCAGGAGCACTCAAGTAGCAGAAAGGTCCTTTGACTGAGATGACCTTGGAAGGTCAAACCAGAGCCATCCTAGAGAAAAAGGACCAAAAAAAAAAAAAAACCATCACTATGTGAGAACCTAACCCCATGACCTGTGCAGATGGCTTAGACCATCCCCCTCTACCCCTCCATGTCCCCCCATCCCCGAAAAGCTGACAGGCAGGAAGGGGAGATGACTTCAAATGCCCCCGACAGGCAGGTAGAAGTAGAAACAAATGGCCCTGACCCCAGGGGACAATCAACCTGAAAAGTTAAAAACAAC